TATATTTAAATATATATATATATATATATATATTATTTAAAACTTGTATAAATAGATATTTAAACTTATATTATATTTTAAATTTAAGATAAATATCTTATATTGTAGTACAAAATTACTTTTATTTATTAATATTTTATTTTAAAAATATTAAAATTTAATTCATAAAAAAAAATATGAAATTAACTAAATTAAATAAAAAGTTAAAAAATTTTCTAATAATCATTTGGTCAAAAAATAACTCCTAAAAAGACTTTTATGCAAGATAGATATTTATGTTTAATATATAAATATTGATAATATTTCTGATTTTTTAAATATTTATAGTTTATTTTGATTTAATAAAGAAGTATAACTCTTTTTTTATTATTTATTTATCAAGTTAGTCTTTATAGAAGTAAAATAATATTTTCAATTACAACTTTATATATAAGTTGAAAATCGAATCTTAGTCATTGATAAATGAAAACAAACATCAAACATTTTTTTTTTTGCTAGCTATCAACTTAAGGTATAAATTAAAGTTTTTAAATGTGTTTTTTTCTTGTGCATCATATTATTCATTTATTATAGAAAATGGAATATAATTTGTAATATTGTTCTTTACTATATGTAATTATGTCAAAATGATAAATGGTTACCATGTTGTCTCCCATTTCTGGGCAACATGTAATGCAAAAGTTACGGGCAATGTTTTGACAAATACATTGATAATAGATAAACCTGTCATTTTACTCTCTATAAATTTGAGTTATTTTGGTCTCTAATATATATATATAAATTCATTACATTAACTCTTGACTTTACATATATTTACTTTAATCCCTTTTAATACAAAACGACAGTGAAAAGTTTAGCATAATAATATTAAAATGAATTTAATTAAAGTGAAATGTTAATAATTTAAAAGATAGTACGCAAGAGAGAAGAAAATATCTACTCTCATGAACGTTGAACATGATAACAAACACACAGTTGAAAAGGGAAACATTGAACATAAAGAAACACGCAGAGCTAGCAAAAGTTCGATTATAAAGAAAGAAACTGATGAAAAATGAAATTTTTTTGTCTAAATCACGTGTATTCTACTAGAAGTTTGAGCTGAGTTATTAAGTTGAAGTCAAGATCATTTGTTGAACTAGAACATCTCATTACCTATTGATCCAAGTGCTTGTGGATAATAACAAATATAAAAAAGAAAAAGGAAATAACAACAAAGTCTATGAGAGAAAAAAAACATTGAAGAAGACAGATAAAGAAGTGACCTGTAACAATAGCAGTGAGACCAGTACCATCAATTCCCTTCGTAACTTCCTCAGCTGTAGAAGATGATGAAAACCCAGAAGCTCCTTTTTTGCTAAATGGCCACATGTTGTCTGATTTTGTGTCTCAACTCAATTCTTAATCTTCTCTCTCTCACACAGTTTATAAGGATTGTACGTATCAATTATTGAGATGACCCAACATTTCCTAGGTTGCTAAGTTTTAATTGCTTTTGAAGGTAGTTTTAGATATTTCCTTTTTCTTAATTAAAGTTTTATGTTCGTCTTATATATTAAATGCATGTGAGTTTTCTTAATCACTTTGAAGTCTAATTATTTAACCAATTATATAAATTCCAACTACCAGCCGCCAGCTAATTTTAAGTGATCACGATTTTGAAAGGAACTGTTTTTTATTATCGGCTGAAAAATATCAACGATGTAAACAAAAACAAAGTTCAATTGATCAATAAGATTTCAATTCATACTTCTAACTAAAGAAATAAGTTAAAATGTGTTAGAAAATTATATTGCTAAAGAAATAAGATTAAACATTGACATGAGTTGGCATGAGAGATAATATGGATCTTGATTCCCTATTTACTTATATGATTCCAGATTTTGTGGGATTGTCTTAGTTTCTCCAACATAGGAGATTAAGAAAACTATATGTATCACCTTTTGTATAGAGAAATAAACACACCTTTCTGTATTGTTTTAACATAACATGTGTTGAAGAAGAATGTCTCAGAAAATATATTGCTAAAATTTATCTATTTTTTTTATATAAATTTTATTAATTGGTTCTATAATCGAGATGCATGTTATGTAATTAAAAAAATTGGCAAATAAAAATAATTTAACATATCAAAGTTAATGAAAAATATTATTCTTTGTGGGCGTGATATCAAACACTAATTAATTATTTTTAGTTAATATTATGAAGACACTTATTAAAATTTCATTAAAATTATTAAAATTAATTTTTTTTTCAAAAATGTAAAATAAAACTAGCCATTGGCATTTAGCAGGAGGAAGGAAATTTCAGAGGTTCCTATCACTGTCATAAATAATGATTCCATTTCGGCCTTTCGAGTCATAATCAGAAAAAAAGAATATCTTAATAATGCAATGGGCGAACTTCGAATGTCAATTTTTTAAGGAAAATGCTGTATCCTCTGAATTTCAAGTACCAAAAAAATCTTTCGACCTTTTATACTTCAATATCCTGTCAGTTAATTTTAAATAAAAATAATAATTTGTTAATAATTTTAATTTTTAATCTTTTGGAGAGTAATTAACATTAATTCAGAGAGTGTAGTCTCTTTTGTTAAACTCAATATCACAACAATAAATTAATTTGGATTGACAGGCGTGACAAAAGACTCAAATCATCTAACTAATTGATCATGTTTGAATTTTCACTTCTGCAAATGCAGAAAACTCAAAATAGAAGAGAATAATTACCTATTTGATATATGTTAAACTTCCGAAGAAGATTATCTCTCAATATTCCTTAATAATGGAAAAAAAAAATCATAACAGTACACCACTAATAAATAATTTGCTACAAATGTAGTACCTGCAGAATTGAAAACTTTGCCCCCCCCCTTTTTTTTTTTTTTTTTTAATTAATGATATGAAATATTTATTAATAATTTTATTAATGGTTAATTTTCTTCAGGAACAAATATAACTGGTTACATTTAATAAGATATTTTTTCTGCTGATCGACAAGGTTTTGTTTTCATTTATAATATTAAAATTATTATAAATCTTATTTCATGTAATTGAATTCAATTTCATTCAAATCAACAATTTGTTAATGGAATAGATACTATGTCCCATTTGTTATATATTAAAAAATGTATGTTAATATAAAATAATTTAGTAATTATTACTCAACATATATAACAACTAATACGAGAACTCAAACTCAAACTCGATCTAGATTTTATATCATTTAATTTGTGTAAATTCATAATAATACAAATAATCTCAAGTTTGAAAATTGGATATATAAGTGTTAAATATTTGAAGGGACAATGGAGGACACACAAGTTCAATAAAAAATAATTTAGTAATTAATTAATTTTAGAAGATTAAAAAATAGAAGCTAATTTATGTTTATTTAAAACTATAATAAAGGAGATTGGACTCCTTGATATACACAATTTTTGTCTAATTTTATTCTTATAATAACTCTTTTATAAATTATACATTTTTTTTATTTTTTCTTTAAATTTACTTGATAATTACCTATATTTTAAATAATCACCCACTATTATAATTTATTTTGGTATACTTTATTAATAATTCACATAGGTACAAATTGTCTTTTATATGCTAAATAATTATGAAATCAGTATTTTAGTATGTGCAATGTATAAATTAAATATTTGTTATAAGTGAGAAAAATTAATAATGAATTATATATATAAAAAAATATATTATATTTAAATATATAAATTATAATTAAAATTTATATAAATAAATACTTTTAAACATATAAATTATATTTTAAATTTATAATAAATAATTTATATTGTAACATAATATCACGTAAAATAGAGATTCGTGTTCAATATAAAATATATACATAAGAAATTCTTAAAAGTATTTATGTTTTAAAAATAACTTTTGTATAAAAGAATAAAACAAATGAGCCCTCTTTATATATATATATATATATATATATATATATATATTAAAAAAAACGCTGGTATCGTTATTTTAACTTCTCAAGTACCTACAAACTTAATGTCCTTTTCAATATTCTCAATATTTTCAATAACAAAAACTTTATTTTTTTTTAATTAATATTATGAAATATAAATCAATAAAATTGGTCTGAAAGTTGAAATAACATTTATAAAGTAATAAATCTAACATTAATATTAATGTGCAATGCATTAATGTGTATATATATATATATATATATATATATAGCTAATTCAAACATAATCTATAGTAATAGAAAAACTGTTTAGTCATTAAACTGTGCCAGCTGAATGGTACACTGCCACTTGACTTGAGTATTCGTATCTTTCGACTTTGGCTCTGTTTGAGAAACCGTTTGCATTGCTGCAAACGAGGTTCACCCTTTCTAATGCACCAAATGAAGACTATTTTGTCTTTTTCGTTGAACGTTGATGTAACTCTTCAATGGTAAATTGAACACACATTTTGTCATTCACTAATCTGTGTCAGAGAATCTGAAACTTTACGTGAGGAGATTGAATCAAATACTACTTAGACCAACAACTTGTTGATAGCTAAAACGACTATATGCATTTCAATTAAATTCTTAAACAAAATCAAATTTTTACAGGAACCCATTAATCTTCATCCAAAATCCTCACAATATATATATATATATATATATATAAAGCAACCTTAGCCTCAAAATAAAAATCATGAAAAACAACTTTACGAGGAACGATAAACGCTTCACCACGGATGTAGAAAAGTGGTTATTATATTTTTATCCTCACAAATTATATAAACTCTAAACGAACCCTGCAATCTTGTAACTTCTTTTTCAATGAGCTTTCTCGTTAATATTGTCGGTGTCGTTTAACGAAGACTCCATTTGATTGAGAGGAAGGATAGGGAAACAAAAGAGAAAATTTTAAAATTTAAATAACAGAAAAAGTAAAAGAAAATTTTAAAACTACTTTTTCTTTTTCTATATTTTCTTTAAAACCAAATAAAAAAATTGTATCATTACATTGTTTTTTCTCTTCTCTCCAGCGATCACACCAAAAAGGTTTTATACCATTTTGCTTCTTGGATGCTCTTGTGTATTTGAAGGTGTATCTTTATATGTAAGTGACTTCTGGTAAAAGGGAGCATGTAGCTTCATGAATCACAAGGAAGCTTCATTGCTTTGTTTTTTCTTATTTACATTTGCATGAGATTAATCTAGCATTAAGTAATAAAGATTTATCAAAACTACCTATTTTTTTCTTCACCCTAGCCTCCACATATAAAAGAATTTTTTCAAATGAGAAACTTTAAAGATAAATAATAAAAATATTATTATAATTATATTTATTATCATTATCTTACTTATTATTATTGACGTCATTATTATTGTATTGTTGTTCCTATCATCGCATAGCATGATGATCTTGATAGTAACTATAACAATTGATAACAATAAATAACTATTATGGTTTGTAACAATTACAACTTTGGTAATAATATCAATAATAACGGTAATAAAAGTAACGAAATAATATCATAAAAAAATATTTATAATTTAATTATAAATTCAATCAACTGTGATTCAAGGACTATTATATTGAAAATTTTCATTTCTCATTCTATATGTTTCTCCAATATGATTTTCATGTGTCATTATGTTATAGCACTTAAACATGAAAAGAGTTCAACTCAAAAAGTTAATCAATTAGGTGGGAGAGTCTCAAAGTTTAATTACCGCTTAATCTATTTGTTTAGAATTTTAATTTAACAGCTAAATTTTTAAAACTCAATATAAATTATAAGTTATTAAATGAAATAAACTTACTAAATTTATATAAATTTAACACTACAAAATTATAAAGATAAATATAGTCTCAATATTTACAATTTATAGACATGTAATATATATATATATATATATAT